CCCTGCTCCCCACAGGAACCTGCCATCGCTGGGATCCCGGACCCGACGCGGACTCCACGGGCGCTCCTCAGAATCTGATGCAACCACCGCCCCGGAAGTCCCGCCCCGCCGGCCGTCTTCCGGGAGCGCCGGTCGCTAGGCAACGCGGCAGGGACGCAGCCGCGCGGGGCATGCCGGGCGTCCGGGTTGGGTTGCTGGCGGGTCGGCGAGCCCGGCGGGCGGCGCTGGCGGGACGCCCTGACCCCGGGCCGGGCGCTGCGGGCCCCACGAGTTCAGAGGGAGCCGCCCGCCGAGGCTGGCTCAGGGCCGAACCGACGGCGTCCCGACAGCTGTCCCACCCAGGGGGTGGGTCCCGGAGGACGGCGCGAGAGCAGAGGCCGTGGAGCTGGGCGTCTTGGCTCCTGCCTGGAATGCCAGCTGCTCAGCGGGCCGAGATCTGAGGACCACGGTTCAAAGCCAGCCTGCGCAGGAAGGTCTGAGACTCCAAAGCAAAAAGCTGGAAGTGGCTCTGTGGTTCAAGTGGTAGAGGGCCAGCCCTGGGTGAAGAAGCTCAGAGACAGCACCCGGGCCCTGAGTTCAAGTCCCATGATTGCATTTCCGCCCCCCCCCCACACACACACAGCTCAAGGAACACGGCCGCCTGGGCTTTGGAGGCTGCAGGCGTGCAGAGCCACGGCATGGCATGGGAGTGAGGGGGGCCGAGCCTGCAGGTTCGCAGGCTCCTGGACTGAGCCCGGAGTGGTCACAGAGATTGCCACCTTTCTGTTATTATAAAGATGATGTACAGAGTGGTTACAATTACACAAGTAAAGAGTATGTTTCTGTCTGGACAACGTCACCCCTTTCTAAGTGGGTTGCTGTATAACTCCTCTGGCCTGGTCATTTGGCTCTCTTCAACCATTCCACCATGACAATACCAACAAGTAAAGAAAGGGAAAGAGGAAATGCTCTGGGATAAGGAAGGGTCTTTGAAATGTAAGATTTTTGCCTTCACTGGTTGTTCCAAATTGGAAGAGGAATTAAGACACGGCTCAGATCTGAGCTCGGCCAATCCAAGCAGAGGTTACAAAAGGAGCAGCCTGCCGGCCCTGCGAGCTTGCTTACTAGATTTTGGCTACTGGGTGACCATGTCTGTAGGAGTCAGCTTTGCCTTGCTGAGTTCCTTTCCAGTTGGTGTACTCATTGCTTTGTGTGTGTGTGTGTGTGTGTGTGTGTGTGTGTGTGTGTGTGAAAATACCTCACAGAGGGGTTACAAGTACAAGGGCAAGGTAATGAGTGCATTTCTTATCAAGCATTGTCGCCTCCTCCTTTGTTTCCCCTTCCCACATTCCCCCCCCCCAAAGTTGTAAAGTTCATTTTCCCACATAACATCTTGGACATCTCATTGTTGCAATGGGTCCACCTGTATCCCTATTTTAAACAATGTTTTTTCCCTTCCCCTCCACAAATTATACCAACATCAATACAATGAAAACAGGGGTTATACCCTGGGGGAGTGGTGTCCTCATTCCTATGCCCAACATCCTGAGCCATTTCTAACACTTTATTGAAGAACTGGACGTTGAAAATGCTTGCTTCTGGATGGAAATAAGCAGGTCGACTTGTGAATATTTCCAAGGATTGGTGCTGCATTCCATGCTTGGATGAGCTAGGGGTAGGGCAAGATGGAGCTCACATTCTGAGCCAAGCAAAGGTAGACAGGGCTGCCATTCCCAGGGACAGAGGCTCCTGAGAAGGCCACAGGCCAGGAGGGCGACAGATGCCCATTCCAAAGCCCTTACCCCAGCCTCATAGCCTCATAGCCTCCCTTGGTGCATACCATCTCCTCCCCAAAATTCCCCACTAGGTGTAAGAGTTGCTGAAAGATCTCCACGTGCAGTCCAGGCAGAAGAGTTTATTAGGAGAACCAAACTGCCAGCCTGCACAAGATGTTGGTGTGCCCAGTGATAACTTATGATGGGAAGGGAGTTATATAGGGAAGAGTGAGGAGGAAGTATGGCCACCCCAGATACGGCAGTGGCCTCAGAGCTGGGGGGACCGCCCACTACTCCCAGGTGTGCCAGTTACCTGACTCACAGGTGCTGCGCAGGGTCTTCTAGGGAGGTCCATGTGCCGTGCAGGGGTCTACATACGGTTTAACATGGAGAGAAAGGGAAGGGGTCATTTTTCCCTGCGCCTCTTCTCCCCCTCCCCCGCAAACATCATTCCAACCTTTTGATACTTATACAGGGGTGCTGATTCTCTCTGGCTACTTCCTTCTGGCAAGGGGTGTCAACATTGGGGGTAGAAGGCAGAGATGTTATCCGGTCTGGGAGAAGGCAGTGGTAACAGTTCTTTGGTGGTGAATGCATGCATGCATCTTGGGATGAAATCTGAAAGAAGTCTTATAATGCAGAAGCTGAACAGTAAGAAAAAAAAACATTATTAGAGGGCCTACAAATGACAGAAGGTAGAAAAGGAAAAATTCATTCAGAGTGGAAATGGAAAATTGGATGACAGTTAGTTCCTGTCTCCTGCACTCCAGCAGTTCTGGAGTTGGTGGTTCATGGCCCTGACTACGCCTGACTGAATGAATGACATGTAGCGACTTGGGAGAGGAGAGACGGTGAACTAGTTAAGTAACAGTCAGGCCTGGGGGCTGGATTGGTCAAGGGCTCCATGGGAGGCCTTGATCATTTCCTGTAACTGGACTATAGATAGATGTTTGGACTAAGGTATATGGGTGGGAGATCCAGGAAGGTACCAAACTGAGTCAAGACTTAGTCAAAGTAGAAATAGCAGGTAATAGATATCAGTTCCTGCCCAGTTAGATGAAAGACAGATATGAACATTAGATAGACATGCTTATTAACTATTTTCTTCTGATCTCCTAGCTCTGGTTAATTTTGAAAGGGCAAGCACAAAGTGACTCCATTTAGGCTCTGACACCATCCCTTACCTGTGCAGTTTTTTCCAACTGCCTCTGGGTGGATCCTTGTTGCCAGGACTAGCTCTGTCTCCGTGGGTCTAGGTCTCTTCTTGCTGGGATGATGTTACATGTTGTGTTTTTGCTTGTTGCTGGGATGGCCTGTCCCAGTGGACTGATGGCCTGTCCCATATTGAGGAGGGGTGTGCTTGACAGATCAAGTGAGAGTAGATGCAAGAGACCCTTTTTACTTCCAATTGAAGCAACAAGGAGATCAAGAGAAATAAGTTTTTAATCAGGGCTTACCTGGAACTTATTAAGCATAAAAGTATGATCAATAAATACTTACAAGAGTTCCTTCTACCTCTGTGGGTCTGAATGTATGTAAATGCTGCAGAGGATCAAATCTGTACAGGCAAAACTCAATAGTGGTCATGATGAGAATTTTGAAATAGCAACTGATTAAACAGTCTAGTTAATTTTTAACTGAATATAACACTTTAGATACTAATTAAGAGTGAAACCATTGTCAGCTCTGTATCCAAGGTGGCTCACATACTACTTTGGAAACAGACATATCTAGTTAAAAGGTGTTCATTTGAAGGACCATGTCATAAACACTTAAATGACATGCTCATACCACCTGCTACTTAGGTGAACTTTCAGCAGTCTTAATTTCTTCCTTTCTCCACTTTGGAACAAACATTTAATGTAATTCTTCTAGAATATTTTCTTATCCAAAGAAACCATTTTTTGTTTCTTCAATTCCTTTCTCTTTCTTTATATTTCCTAATCATAGCTCTTAAACACATTGCTTATATCCAAATCTGTTGAGCTTCTTTGTGGTTTGAGTTTAAAACTGCCCCTTTCCCCCCTTTGGCTTGTGTGGCCAGTTAAGTAGTTAAATTGAAGCCAAAAACCAAGTAATTTCAGGATATATCAATATCTAAAAAAATTAATATATGACAGAAGCACCTGAGTAGAAAAAGGAGCTTTTCTCACCCACGATGGTTTTTATGTATTAAAGTGAGGTAACATGTTCACACACACACTTTTTTTCCTCCAAATATTTCTTTATTGAGATTGATTACATAAATTTCACAGTACTGTGATATACTTAGCTAAGGTCACAAGCACCTTTTAACCTTTACAATGATACTCGTCATTATCTTAATCTCCAAAGCTTATGAACACCATGATCTTTAACAATAAAACTATGTCTTCCACATTGGGAGCTATGTACATTTCTCTCCTTTTGCTTATTGTCAGCTGTTCACTCTTTCCCTCTCCTTCCCTCCCTCCCATCGCTGCCCTTGAGTTGCATAGTTCATTTTCATCCATGTCCAGGGCAGTTGACGGGCCCCTCTGTTGTATTTTTCCACCTGTTTTCCTCTGGTTCTGTGTCCTCCTCCTAGCTTTCCTCAGATGGGGCACCAAAGTTTTAAGGCACACTTAGGTTTTAAAAGTGAAAGTCAAGCTGGAAATGTGGCCTAGTGGCAGAGCGCTTGCCTAGCATACATGAAGCCTTGGGTTTGATTCTTCAGCACCACATAAACAGAAAAAGCCAGAAGTGGCACTGTGGCTCAAGTGGTAGAGTGCTAGCCTTGAGCAAATGAAGCTCAGGACAGTGCCCAGGCCCTGAGTTCAAGCCCTATGACTGGCAAAAAATAAAAAAATGGGAGTCAACTGTAAGTTTTCTGAAATTCCAGTGGCAAAAGATGTTTATGCACATAGCATTATAAAACCACATGGTCAATGCTAAAGAAACAGGTAACACAAAACAAAATACAAGCAAAAACTCATCACAAAATTTTTTCCAACAGACAGAATGTAACAGAATCTTCACACTTAAACAAACACTGATTAACCAGAACAGAAAACCTTTAAAACAATTTTGGTAAGCTTGGTGGAAGAATAGGGGTTGGGGCTGGGAATGTGGCTTAGTGGTAGAGTGTCTGGGTAGCATGCATGCATGAAGCCCTGGGTTCCACTCTTCAGTACCACATAAACAGAAAAAGCCAGAAGTGGTGCTGTGGCTTAAGTGGTAGAGTGCTTGCCTAGCGTGCATGAAGCCCTTGAGCAGAAAATCTCATAGATAGCACCCAGGCCCTGAGTCCAAGCCCCATAACCAGGGGGGAAAAAAAAGCCAGGAGCCGGTGGCTCATGCCTGTAATCTTAGCTACTCAGAAGGCTAAGATCTGAGGATCGCAGTTCAAAGCCAGCAGGAAAGTCTATAAGACTCTTATCTCCAATAAACCACCAGAAAAACTGGAAGTGGCACTGTAGCTCAAGTGGTAGAGTACTAGACTTGAGCTGAAGAGCTCAGAGCCAGTACCCAGGCCCAGAGTTCAAACTCCATGACAGACCAAAAAAAAAAAGAATGGGGGTTGCATGAAAACCTACCACATGACCAATATGGCGAATCTCTGGTCAAGTCATGATGGTAGAAAAACTTGGTACAACTTTATTGAGTAAGCAAGCAAGCAGAGAAAAAGCAGACAGAAAACAGAAAGGAAAGAGGTACACTCTAACAGAGTGTGGGTGCTCTCAAATGGAGGGAAGGAGAGGAGAGAGAAAAAGAGAGACTGAACTGCTACAAGACAAGGAAAGTTACCTTTCAGGAGGAGATGCCTGGGAGGCTGACGCCTGTTTCAGCCACCCAGGCCTGGCCAGCACCGGGGTGAAGGTGGACAGAGAGTTTGCTTAGAGAGGACAGACAGAAGGATGAGCAAGGGGAGTAAAGAAAGAGTGCGTGTATCTGTTCACCTCTGCATTGACAGAAATCGCTGAAATAAAAGGACGGCATTTTGGCTTTGTGGAGTCCTGAGAGGAGTCTGGAGGACCCAGAGGGAGTCTGCTCAGACTGAGGGAGAAGCAAGCAACAGGGAGAAGGCCACGGAGGTCTTTCTGGCTGAGAGTGAAATTCTCAATTCAGGCATCTCTGAAACAGGAAGAGATTGGCCAAAAGGCACAGGGGATCCCTCTGGTGTGGTGCCACATTGAAAGAGACAGACAGACAGAGGGGCCTCATGGGGAGGAGTCACTCAACAGACATAGACAAGAGACGGGAGAGGGGTAATGAATGCACAGCCAGCAAGGGTAAAGGCCAGACATCCGACATGAGGTTCCTTTGACAGTTTGGGAGTGGGCCAAGACGCGGATGGCCTCGGACAGAGAAGCGGAGGGGATCCAGTGACTCTGACGCTGTCCCCTCCTGGGTTTGGCACGAGATGTGACTCAAAGTGGTAGTGCGCTAGCCTTGAGCAGAAAAGCTCAGCGACAGCACTCAGGCCTGGAGTTCAAGCCCCATGACAAAAGAATAAAAGAAGTCCCATGCCCAGGCTGACTTTGAGCCAGGATCCTCAGATCTCGGCCTCCAGAGTAGAGGACTGTTGGCCTCTGTGGAGCTTCTTTTGCCAAGAATCCCACTAAGCCAACTGTTCCACAATAAAGGCATCGTGACATTCTTCAGGACGCTGGCTCCACGTCAGTCCTCCAGGCTCCCCAGGGTCCTCCATGTGGTTCCTAATGTCAGAAAATCACAGAGCAATGGGAGCTGGGCCACCAAGAGCCTCATGCTGTAGCCCACGTCGGGTACAGGGTCTGGGGCTGCCCATTTCTGGTGTTTAAACTCTCTGTCCGTGGTTCTCTCTTACAGTGTCTTACCAGGACCATCTTATAAAGCCCTTTGATCCCTTGTGCCTCAGTTTCCACTTCGTTTTTTGTTTTTGTTAGTCACAGGGCTTGAACTCTGGGCCTGGGCGCTGTACCTCAGCTCTTCAGCTCAAGGCTAGCACCCTACCACTTGAGCCACAGCACCAGTTCCTGTTTTCTGGTGGTTCATTGGAGAGAAGAGTCTCACAGACTTTCTTGCCCGAGCTGGCTTTGAACCGTGATCCTCAGATCTCAGCCTCCTGAGTAGCTAGGATGACAGGTGTGAGCCACTGGCGCCTGCCTGTACTCAGTGTTCTAGACCACCAAACTACCAGTCTTCTTCCAGTATTGACTCCACAGCTCCAATAAAGTATAGTAAAGTCAGGGTGCAAGCTCGAGGGCCCGTGTAGTCCCTCACCCCCTTCCCAGACCCCTGCATCGCTACTGCCCGGAGGCCTGAGCACTCAGCACCCAAGACACCTCCAGCTGCCCCAGGGAGGGTATACCCAATGCCAGCGTAGTACTTACTGGATAATCAGCCTCGCTGCTGCTTCTGAAATCAGAAACAACACGAAATGAGACGACGCGGTGACCTCTCTGAGGAAGAGGGAGGGCCTTGAACTCACAGCAAAAGAGGCTGCACAGTGTGAGTCGTGTGACATACTAACACCCTGGTATTTCCAGACCTTGCTGTCACATGCCCAACCTCTGGGGAGCACAGAAGCCCCTCAGCCAGACCCCCTCTTCCCACGGGGGCCTGCTGTGCAATGCGCACTGTCTCTGTGGTCTGCTGATGAGGCCCTGCAGCCGCCAGGCCCCGTCAGGCAGTAGCTGACCCAGGACTACGGACCGAGGCACAGGAGTTCCAGTAAAACGGGCCCGTTTCTGAAGCACGAGCAGGCCCATCAAGCTCTTACTTACTTCTTCTGGTGCAGCACCAGTCCACCTGAAGGGTCATACCTGAATCTCTTAACAAGGTAACAAGCGAGGAAGAAGATGCAGATGATGGAGGTAACCACCATGGCCCAAGTTGGGAGTCCTAGAAAGAAGTAGAATAGTGTTAAGGCTGCATTGAGCCGGGCACTGGTGGTCTCATGCCCTGATTGAAAACACTACAGACAGCACCCTGATCCTGCACTCAAGCCCCAGTACTGGCACACACGCATGCACACACACACACACCAGTACACACATGCACTGAACTGAGCATGGCTGTCCCTACCAGAGTGGCATGTCACAGGAAGTCCCTGCTCCCTGTCACCGCCTTAAAGTTCAGAGGTCATGGGATGCTGCCCAGGGCCTCTCCAGAACAGTAGCAGGGAGCTCTGCTGCCGTGTCCCAGCCATAAAGTCTACTGTGGGCCAGCCAAGAAAGGCGGGGGACTGGGCGGTCGAGAGGATGCACAGGTCCTTCCTGGGGCACAGCCAGGCCGCCATGACCTCTCGGGACAGGTGTCTCCCATGCAGGAGTCCTGGCTTTCCTTTGTGAAATCACAGCATGAGCACAGCACGGGGTCATGCAGGACGTGACAGCAGCCTCACAGTGACAGGCCAGAGGAACAGATCTGCCCCACACGCCATCACTGAGCAGCCGGGCTTTATTCTCAGGTGAGACACTCCATTTTTTTTTTACTTTGGTACTCAAATGTTAGCTTGTGGGCTGGCAAGGTGGCTCAGTGGTTGAGTGCTTGCCTTGCATGCCTGAGGCCCTGGGTTCGATTCCTCAGCACCACATAAGCAAAAAGAAAAAAGCCGGAAGTGGTGCTGTGGCTCAAGTGGTAGAGCACTAGCCTTGAGCTGAAGAGCTGAAGGACAGCGCCCAGGCCCAGAGTTCAGGCCCCACGACCAACCAAAAAAAAAAAAAAGTCTCACAGATTTGTCTGCCTGGGATGGCTTCAAACCATACTCAATTCTCAGCTTCCTGAGTAGCTGGAATTTCAGGCATGAGCCACATGGTATCAAACTAAATCAATTTTTTTTTTTTTTTGGTGGTTGTGGGGCTTGAACTCTGGGCCTGGGCGCTGTCCCTCAGCTCTTCAGCTCAAGGCGAGTGCTCTACCACTTGAGCTACAGCACAACTTCCAGTTTTCTAGTAGTTTATTGGAGATATATTGGAGATAGGAGTCTTGCGGTCTTTCCTGCCCCAGCTGGCTTTGAACCACGATCCTCAGATCTCAGCCTCCTGAGTAGCTAGGATTACAGGCGTGAGCCACCCGCGCCCGGCTAAATCAATTTTTTTTTTTTTGGCAGAAGCTGATTTGAAATGAGCAGTGCCAGACAGTAGTGTGGCAGAACACTTGAGCTCTCAGAGTTCAGACATACCACAAAGGAGACTCAGGCTGCCACACACACCAAGTCCAAATTCCCAGCTCCCAGAGCAGGAAGCGAGGCTGGAGCCCAGCCATCTGTTTACTATGAGACGGAGATCTCAGAAGTCCTGCCACCGACCAAGTCCAACCATCTCCCCTGTTTGTATGACATTTCCCTGGCACGTGACCTTATGTTTTGCTCACAGCGGCAGTGCTGAGCAGTGACAGACAATTAAGCGGAACTCACCCAGAGTGTAGTGAGAGCCAGGCTGTGGAGGGGACGATGCACACACCGAGTCCTCTGTGGCATGGCACGGTCGAAGAATACCATGAGGGCAACTGCGAGAACACCTGAGCATTATTTCTCCCCGGCCGGCAGCAAGCGTCCCCACCACCATCCCAAGGGGCAGGGATGGGAGGGGCCGGCCTTGCCCAGGACTCCCTTTCTCCCCCCGCCACCCTTCCCTTTTCTGGCCTAATACCAGCGAAGCCTGGGAGTCGCCTGTGATATTTATTGGAGAAGCCGGTCTCTCTTCCCTCCTGGATAGAGAGTATCTGCTAGGAAGATGGCCTGCTACGCCTCCACCAATGGGGAGATCAGCCCAAGGTCAGCCCTCACAGGAAGCCGGTCGCCGGAGCTGAGGAGAGGCGTGTGTCCAGGGGACGAAGGTGGACTTGCCTGCAGGCCTTCCCTCCAACATGTCAGGTTCTGAGTTGTGGTCATGAGTTTGGGACATGTCTCACAAATGCAAGCTACAAGTCACTTTCTCACGATAAATGTTCCTCCGTTGAGCTGGGGGTGTGGTGCCAGTCCCACAGAGCCAGCCAGGAGCAAAAGAAGCTCAAGGGAGAGCATGAAGCCCCGAGTTCAAGCCCCGGTATGGGTACATCCAACATTCAAGAGAGACAGACAGACAGACAGACACAAAGACATACAGATAGGGCTGGGAAGGTGGCTCAGTGGTAGAGCACTTGCCTCGCATGCATGAGGCCCTGGGTTCGATTCCTCAGCACCACATAAGAAAAAAGAAAAAAGCCGGAAGTGGCGCTGTGGCTCAAGTGGTAGAGCGCTAGCCTTGAGCTGAAGAGCTGAGGGACAGCGCCCAGGCCCAGAGTTCAGGCCCCACGACTGGACCCCCCCCCCAAAAAAAAGACATACAGATAGGCAGGTAGGCAGAGAGAGACACAGAGACAGAAAGGAATGGGTGAAGGAAGGGAAAAAGGAAGCTTCCCCAATTCATGCCTCTGAAACCTCAGAATTTCACCTTAACTGGAAATAGTGTGGGGTTTATGCTTTTGAGGGTTTTTTTTGTTGTTGTTTTGTTTGTTTTTTTGCCAGTCTCGGGGCTTGAACTCAGGGCCTGGGCGCTGTCCCTGAACTTCTTTTGCTCAAGGCTAATGCTCTACCACTTTGAGCCACAGCACCACTTCTGGTTTTCTGTGGTTAATCGGAGATAAGAGTCTCATGGACTTTCCTGCCTGGGCTGGCTTTGAACCGCGATCCTCAGATCTCCTAAGCAGCTAGGATGACAAACATGAGCCACCGTCCCCCAGCCCCACACCTCTTTTGTAATAAATTGTAAATTAAATGTGCGTAGTCAGCCATTTTGCACCTCTGTCTGGTGCTCTCCCTTGAGGGGAAGGGCATCTTTTATAAAGTTCCTTTTCCCAAGGGACGCCCAAAGTTCCCCTTTAGGTCTCCTAAAACATGGAGTTTCTCGTATTTTCTGCATCACCCACTTGTAACATCCCCCACCTTGGGTGTGTGAGCCCGACCCCAACTCTGTCGGCGCTCAGAGTCTTTGGGAGTTCTCCCTCTGTAGCCCAGCGGTGTGAACCAAGCCCTTCTACTTCCCATAGTCTGTGTCAGCTCGCCCCCCCCCCCCATATGGTTAGACCAACAGCTGAGTCTGCAGAAGTTAGCATGGCCACAGCCTTGCTGCTAGCAGGTCTTGCGCGGCCTGTGCGCACCACACCACGGGCACTCAAGTCTACAGTGCCACCTGCAGGCCACAGAGAGACTTGGGAATTATTTGTTGAATAAGTGAATGGAGGAGCACTGATTCCAGGCAGACGGCCAGGAGGAGACATCGAGGCAATGTGCTTGATATTGTGTCGATGGGGCAGCTGCTACCCACTTTAGTTTTTTGGGGTTTTTTTGTTTTTTGTTTTGTTGGGTTTTTTTTTGGGTCAGTCGTGGGGCTTGAACTCTGGGCTGTGCACTGTCCCTGAGGCTCTTCAGCTCAAGGCGAGCGCTCTACCGCTTGAGCCACAGCACCACTTCCTAACCCCATTTTATACACAGGGAAACCAAGGCTATTGCCAAGCAAACAGTAAGGGGAGAACCACCCCTCCTCCCCCCAGCCCCGGCTGGCACCTGCTACACCGGAAACAGTGCTCTGGACAGTGCTCATCCTGGGGGCAGAAGTAGCCGCTCCTGCACTGGCACTGCTGGTCGGCTGTCTGGTTGCATGCAGCTACCGTCTCCTGGTCTGTTAGTGAGAGAAAGCCAAAGGCTGAGCGCCAGTCCCCAGGCTGCAACACTGCCCCGGGCTTCACTGGCTCTTCCTCCTGGCACCAAATCACCCCTCACCTGGTCTGTGAGCACAAGGGTCAAGAAAAGGGAACAATCAGACCCCCTTCCCTGTGATCTGGGCTGTCTGCAGAGAAATTTGGACTGGGCGAGGAAGAGGAAATATCCCCAAGGCTTTTTTTTTTTATTATTATCATTTTTCTCACAAGAAAACACCACCACTAATGTTGTAGGTGTGGGTGTGTGCTGGTCCTGGGGCTTGAACTCAGGGTCTCGGTGCTGTCCCTTAGCTTTTATCAGGCAAGATTGGTGCTCTACTACTTGAGCCACAGCTCTACTTCCTGTTTCTTGGTGGTTAACTGGAAGGATGAGTCTAATGGACTTTTCTGCCTAGGCTGGCTTCAAACTATGATCCTCAGATCTCAGCCTCCTGAGTAGCTAGGTTTACAGGCATAGGTCACCAGCACCCAGCTTCTTTGTTTCTTTCTTTCTTTTTCTTTTTGTCATGGGGCTTGAACTCTGGGCCTTGGCACTGTCCCTAAACTCTTCAGCTCAAGGCTAGCGCTCTACCTCTTGAATCACAGTGCCACTTCCAGTTTTCTGGAGGTAAGAGTCTCATGAACTTCCTACCTGGGCCGGCTTTGAACTGGGATCCTCAGATCTCAGCCTTCTGAGTAGCTAGGATTACAGACATGAGCCACCAGCGCAGGATGGAACGCAGGGCCTCACACACATTAGGCAAGGGCTCTGTCCGGAGCCACATCCCAGCCCCTTAGCCTTTTCTTACTGACAGGCAGGGATCCCTTATGAGTTCTGGACACCGACAGTATATGAATTGTACATATCATAAATATTTTCTACTTTGCAAGAGACTTACAAGTTTCAGTGTCCTCTTCTGGATAAACAGAAGCTTGTAATTCTTTTCTTTTTAACCATATTAAGATTTAAACTCATAGCCTTGCGCTTGCTCAGCTTGCTTGCTTGGCTGGCATTCTGCTACTTGAGTCATGCCCCATCTTTGCTCTTGCTAAAAGCAAAGTCTCACGGACTTTTCTTTCCCAGATCGATCTCAAACCATGATCCTTGGGACCTCAGCCTCCTCCGTAGCTAGGATTACAGGGGACGGCCACTGCCATCCAGCCGATTTTTGTAATGCACATGCCTTGCATCGCATCTATCCTCGTGGCTTGTGAATTTTATAACTTCTGTAATTTCTTTGCTGCCTTAACATCAGACTCTTGGTTCCTTCTTATTCTTTTTCTTCTTTGGACTTCAAGGCACCAACCTTGAAGGTGGGGATGGGTAGAATCAGCAGAGGTCACGCTCTAAGCTGGAAGTTTCCAGAGTACACAGTTAACTACCCACTATTTGGGATTTGAGGCCACAGTGCTCACAGGTTGAAGAGTCACCTCTCTGGCGGCCTCTGCTGTCCACTGGTCCAGCCATCTCAGCCCGGAGCGGATTCCCCACTGATTCTGCCTCCGCACCAGGGAATGGAAGCATGCCATCTGGTTCTGTGCCTCAGCTAAATCAAGGAGATGCCGCTGGGGCTTTCCGGAGGAGTTGGCTGAGCCTGAGGCTCTCCCGGGGAGCGCCGGCCTCTGGGAGACACTGAGTCACCCGGCTGCAGACTTGAGCCAGTGCAGAGCTCCTCTACTTCTTTTGCTACCCTCAGCCCAACGTAGCTGAGCTTTTGACAAATGAGAAAAATAAAAAACTTTTTAAATTACATTTAAAATTTTGTTGTCAGGCTGGGAAGGTGGCTCAGTGGTAGAGTGCTGGCCTAGCATGCATGAAGCCCTGGATTCAATTCCTCAGTACCACATACACAGAAAAAGCTGGAAGTGGCGCTGTGGCTCCAGCCTTGAGCGAAAGCAGCTCAGGGACAGCGCCCAGGCCCTGAGTTCAAGCCCCAGGACTGGCAAAAAAACAAAACAAAAACTGTTGTCATCTATGTCTGGTGGCTCATGCCTATAATCCTAGCTACTCAAAAGGCTGAGATCTGAGCATCGCAGTTTGGAGTCGGCCTGGGCAGCAATGCCGTGAGATTATGTCCAACTAATTACTGAGGGAAAGCAGCCACCTGATCCAGGCCAGCTCAGCCCCTTCCCCCACGGTGGCGACTGCCCTGGTCCTCTTTGTTTCAAACAAACCAATCATGATCTGAGAAACTGCCTGAAGGAAAAAGGAAAGGGTGTATGTGCCTGTCCGGTACAAAACATCCTGTCCCTAACTGTGAACCTCAGGTTACCAGCCAGTGCTGCTCATTCTCCTTGATGCCCTTCCTCTATGGTGAATGAGCTCTGCGCCCCTGCAGCAGGACCGGCTGGTGCTGGTGGTCTTCCGTCCTACACTGCAGAGCCAAGAGTTCATCCCACTGCACATCGTCTTGGTATACCCGGTACGTGGGGCAGAAGACAACTAAAGGTAGTGTAAGGGGCTGGGAAGGTAGCTCAGTGGTAGAGTGCTGGCCTAGCAAGCATGAAGCCCTGGGTTCGATTCCTCAGTACCACATACACAGAAAAAGCCACAAGTATGCTGTGGCTCAAGTGGTAGAGTGCCAGCCTTCAGCAAAAGCAGCTCAGGGACAGCGCCCAGGCCCTGAGTTCAAGCCCTAGGATTGACAAAAAAAAAAAATTTAAAGTAACATAACCTGGCACATCTGTTCCCCAAAACTGCCCATGTGGTGCCAACCTGGTGTTGCTCCTCTGTCCTTTGGCGATGAGATTTCCTCCTTAAAGCTTTAATTCCAAATCATACCTTGGCCAGGAAGGGTGACATTAAAGCAGCATAGATTAGAGAAAATGAGGCACAGCAAAGAGCAGCCAGGAATTCAGAAATAAATAGTGCACGCAGAAATAAGAACCACTGCACTGGGCACCGGTGGGCTCAGCCTGTCATCCTAGTCCTCAGGAGGCTGAGAGCTGAGGATCCCAGTTCAAAGCCAGCCCAGGCAGGAAAGTCCAGGAGATTCTTATCTCCAATAAACCACTCAGAATACCTGAAGTGGCTCTGTGGCTCATGGGTGCTCACCTTGAGCTGAAGAGCAGCGCCCAGGCCCAGAGTTCAGGCCCCACGACCGGACCAAAGAAAGAAAGAGAGAGAGAGAGAGAGAGAGAGAGAGAAAGAACCACTATTAAACTTGCCTTACCTTATACTTATTCACAAGCTGCAATATAAGTACAAAGAAGAAAAGAGGAAGAAGAGCTTTCTGCATCTAGCTTGGTCTGCCAGAGAAAACAATGGGTTCCAGAAATAGAGGAAGGCTCAAACAAAAGATTTGCTCCCCCCAGTAGAAAGCACTATCTCAAGGATAAACATGTTTCCAGGTCGGGGTGTAGTTGTTTTTTTCTGGAAGGAAAGTACAAACAGCAAAAGTTTGGCAGATCTTGCCCACGTAATTGTAACCCCTCTGTACAGTATTTTCACAATTAAAAAAAAAAATTTTTTTAAAGTTTGGCAGATAAGAAGTTTTTTGTAGGGCTTTGAACTCAGGGCCTGGGCGCTGTCCCTGAGCCTCTTTTGCTCAAGGCTAGTGCTCTACAGCTTGAGCCACAGTGCCACTTCGGTTTTTTTGCTTTTTTAAAAAAATGAGTTATTAGAGATAAGAGTCTAATGTACTTTTGTAGCCAGGCTGGCTTTGTGAGAAAAATAAGTCTTTTCTTTTCTTTTTTTTTTTTTTGTTGGTCATGGAGCTTGAACTCTGGGCCTGGGCGCTGTCCCTCAGATCTTCAGCTAAATGCTAGCGCTCTACCATTTGAGCCACAGTGACATTTCTGGCTTTTTCTGTTTATATGGTGCTGAGGAATCGAACCCAGGGCCTCATGCACTCTACCACTGAGCCACCTTCCCAGCCCAATATCAGTCTTTTCTGTCAAACAAAAGTGCCTCTGTCTTGCATACTGGTATTTCCTGGTACTGATATTTCCTGAAAGTATTTGCTTTTTGACTTCAATTTTTACTATTATCTGTACTGCTTGTTACCAACAGTCATATGAGGAAAGAGTTACTAGAGGGTTATTACATTCATTTTAAAATTTAAAATTACTTTTCTTCATAGATACAGAGTATTTTCTTTAAATAAAAACCTGTTATTTGGGGAGGGGGAAAGGAGAAGGATTGGGATGGGGGGGAAGGGGGGAGGCTGGGAAGGGAAGGGAAGGGTAAACAAAGGAGGAGGCTGCAATGCTTGGTAAGAAATGTACGCATTATCCTGCCCATGCAATTGTA